CCTCTGTACTCATCCGGCACGGTGGTGTATACATAGGTACATGGACCAGGATTCGCGCTATATACGTTCGTCATCGATAACGTCCAGAGTAATTCGGGCTTCTCGGCCGCTGAAAGGCCGGAATCGAGCAGCCGCCGCGTAGTGTCGGGGAGACTGCGGAAGCTTTCGAAGGGGTTGCCGGGCGAGAGAGCGGCTCTAGTCTTCGGACGAAAAGTGCGCGGTAACACGGGACACGAGCGATCACGGGCACGCGCGCGAAGCCGTACCGAGCGAAGGAGGTCGTTTAACGAGGAGCCCGACGGCGATGCGTCTGCGAGGCTCGACCTTCGTCCAAGTCGACGTTAAACTCTGATCGACCCCCGGTACGATTCGATCTCGCGTCGCGGGGGACGAGTGTTCGAACTCGGACGGATCGGACGCTCGGCGAACGGGCCGAGGCGGATCGAAGCGGACGAACACGAGCGACGAGCCGTCGCGACGGTAGCGCGTGTCATCGGTCTACGTTTCGCGTGTGTCGCATCCCGAGAGGAACGTGGAACGCGGGTACGCGGACACGGTGCGGTGCGGCGTGGGTGCGTGCAGGGGTTCGTGCACACACGTACGAGCGATACGAGGAATCGCAGGGAGGAGCAGAGGGGGTGGCGGCGGCGGCGGCGGCGGCGGCGTCGGCTCTGCAAAGCGTTCTCCGGCCAGTCTCGGTTAGCTGTTTCCTCTTCTCCCTTTCGTTCTCGCTGGCCTCTTTCCTCGCCGGATCGGTCCTCCCCCACCTTGGATACCGCCGTCCTCGTCTGGCCTTCGATGGCCGGAGTCGGTGCCGCGTTCCCGTCGAAAATATGCTCCGCATACGAGCTTTCGCGACGACGCTGTTTTGCTCGGCGGAGCTGGTGCTAGCGTCGGTACTGCTGGTGGCGGTGGTGGTGCCGATGTCGAGGAGGATGGTGTAGCCGCGCGGCTGTGCGCGTGCGGTGTGCTGCCTGCCTTCGACGGCTAACAGTGCGGACGGTGGCTTTAGACTCGAAGCTGCGGAAGAAAGGCCGCGAGCTCGGCCGTGCTCCGATGGCTTGATACACACTTTACGGGACGCGTATATGAAGCTACACTGCCCTGACTCGTCGAGTGAGTAGTTCAATTAATCGCAATTAGACACCGTCGCCGTACCGTCGTCCTACGCCTGAGAGACTCGTAACACCACACGGTCTACGATCGATCTTCGCGGTGGGCAAACTCCCGATCCTTCACAGCGTACCTACCACTCGCTCCTGGCCCGTCGTCTCTCTCTCTATCTCTCAACTCGTTCGGCTCCCCGTCTCTGCCGCTCTTCCATCTTTCACCCACCCGCCGCCGCCTGTCAACGCGAATTCGTCCTTGTCCTTCCGAGAATTCCGCGAATTTTCCATGCGTACGACGTACCTCCGTGTCAAGGATGTCGCGGCTCGAACGCGTACATCGAGACTTTTGTCCGGTTCGTCGAGCCGGATCGTGACGGTCGGGCATTCGTTCTCTTCTCGATCTCCGCTGGTCTCTTCATTCGCGGCTGGACGAATTTCGTCGAGTGAACGTCGATCGGTCGAAGGTGTTCGAACGAACGGGTGAAACGGAGCAACGATCTACTCGGTGTTAATTGCGTTCTCACCGATTGATTCCGCGTTCGCGCGAAACTTTTTCCTCTGCCATCGTGCCGGGCAGATAAAGAGATACTGCACGAGAGGACCGCAATAAATGTAACTACGTACGTCGGATTTGTCAACGATGAACGAAAGCTCAGAGAAAGTGAACCGGGTCACGACGCAGTTTTTCGGTGCACGTTTCCAAAATAGATGGACCGTGGAAAAATGTAACGGAGTGTAGCGGCTGACCGTAGGATGTTGTTGTTGTCGTCGTCGTCGTCGTCGTCGTCGTCGTCGTCGTCGACGAGGAATAATTGACACGAGAATTTTCATCGATCTTACGCGTACGTACCTATGTGCCTGCATATATGCATTTACGAGGATACTCGACGAGCCGACCGTTTGCGCCTAACTTAGATCGCGACGGGTAAAACACTCTTTGATCCATCCATACTTGTTTAATCGGTTCGCAAGGAGAACCTGTTTGTTGTCACTGCCGCGTGTATATTTGGTATCGCCATTGCTATAGTAACGATTCAACGAAAGTCGAACGATGCGAATGTACTTACTTCCGTATTATCGAGCTGCACCCTCCCCTGATTCCTCGCGATTGTCCTTTTTCATTGCACCCGTGACTATACACACGTACGTGCGTTCTTTATCGACTGGCCACCGTGCGATCGCCCATAGAATAGCAATGTTCGTACTGGCGCATTGTACAGGGAAATATGCAAAACGCGTGTTCATCGAGTCGGAGGATTGCATCGTGAAATGTTGACTTTTGTCGAAGACAGCTTTCTCGGAGAAGCACCGAGTTAACATCTGTTTGTCACAACAATTATGCTGTCGATGCTGTACCGCGTACTTTCATCGCGAATAATACGAGGCGATCTGAGCGAAGCTTGAAAGTAGAACACGTTTTCAATTTTCTACTAATTAAAAGAACGATGGAACGTAATGAGATTTAATACCACGAAAGAACACGCGGTTGTTGAAAACTTATTGACCGACGTTTACACGAAGAAGGAAATAGTTATTCGATGCTCTCTGCTCGCTTTTCAGGAAAATGCACGCTTGCATAAGAGGCCGTAATCTAACGTGTGACAAAGGCTATACTAATCCGTACAATGAAACATCGTGAAATTGATTTACATTGGATTCAACTGGAAGTTTCTATTAATTAGCGAAAAATTGGTTCTCGATTTCGGGATTACTTCTGAAAACAATAATTAAACTCATAGATTACGCGCGCTGTTCCATTGTAAGCGCCGAGTAATTGGAATACATTTCGTTAATTTTCGATTCAATTAAATGTTCGATCGGATTGTGAAAATACTTGTTTATGTATCTTGCAAATTTTATTCAAATGTCTCTTTGACAGCGTTACGACGTAAAGTACATTCTTGAACGAAGAATGTTAGATTTTAATGTACGATCCCGCGGGTATTCTAAGAACGATACGTATACGCGTTTAAAGCACGATAACATTTTTCCAAGCAGTTCTGCAGAGAAACAAGAGACACATTTCGAATGGTTAAATAGAACATTTCGCATACTAGCTACAGAAAGTACACTTATAGCACTCGCCTCTATGTACGTATGTACGTGCCACGTATCTATCGTCCTTAATACAACATTTATAGATGTGCAAGTAACCTTTCCTTGAAAAGGTTTGCTGACACAGTTTTTGATAAACGTTACTTCCGTTTCAAACGAGAATATCTCGACCATTGCGTTAATTAAACTCATTCGTACAACAACTGAATTAAGATCCTTCGTACAAAGAGCCTCGTTTAACAACGCAATTTGGTTAATCGGTTCGCTTCGTGAGATATACTTGTATTATACTTTGTGAAAAATACTCTGTATATTTTGAAAACGACGGAGGTGTTCGCAGAGTATGGGGTAAAAAATTAAGTCCACTTCGAATTAACGACGGATCAGGATAAATTTAACTTTTGCCCACGCGCAACCTTCGAAACTTGTTCTGGGAATCTATTTAAACGAAACGTGTCAACTAGGTTTCAATCGAATCGCTGATTACGAGCAAGAATCGTGTACGATGTTCCTCGAGTGCCAGAGAAACAAATGATGTGTAACGCTTCTTACGATCGAAGAACGGTCAGAGATTCTCCGTACGTTCATAGACTGTGTATCAATTTACGCAGACATGAATTCTCGTAATAAATCTATCTCTTACTTTGTACAATTGCTATCTGAATAAGAACATCAGTTTCTGGTTCCTCGATAATTTGTACTATTATTACGTTCGAGCTATAATCGGCTCTCAATACGTAATACGATTCCTTTTCATGCGATTTCTACGAAGACTTCTGTACAGCAAATGTGCACCGACCGATGTAAATAGATCAAATAGTATTTATAGATAATACATCTAGGAATCTGTCGATCGCTGAAACGCGACGGTAGATAAAACGTTAAGTAAACTCGAACGTTCGGATCGTTCGCGTTTTTTTTTTTTATACTTCCCTCGGAGGAGTCTCGGAGTGGAATTTCAGCTTGGAAAATAGAAAAGCACTTACAGGTGCCAAATCCGATGATCGAGGGGCTGGTCAAGGAGCGTAACGGCTTTTCTCTCCGAGAAAGGAACTCCTTAACCAAGACGACGTCAATCGAATCGAACGTCGTCGTCACTATAAATTGAAACAGGCATATCGATATAGAATAAAACATGAAGCATGCTTTAACCCTCGCCCGTTTATTCCGTCGACTCGGCATATTTGCTCGAGCAATATTTGTTTCTTCTCTTGTCAGACGAATCGACACACGGCCTTTCATGGAAATGACGAGACGTAGATGCTTCGAGGAAAGTTTCGTCGATTCGACGCGAATTCGGTCGATAGAAATTTTCTTCGAGAAAGAGAATTTAAAACGAGCAATGAAGGGTTGCTTATATATGATCTAAGAGAAGTGAATCGTTGATGGTTTCAGTGGGCGTGCGGGGGTGACTGGAGTGATGGGATGGGGCCAGAGCCCCATGGAGTTCGGGTAGACCCGTCTCCGACCCAACTCCCCAGCCCCCTCCGCCATCAATATCGCCACAGCTCCTGCCGGCGTCGAAGAGGGCCCCCTCGATCGCGATGGAGGCCGCCAATAATCAACAACAGAAGAAGGAGCCACGCGTTCACAGGCCTTATGCCTTCGACAAGGTACGTACGAGCGTCAACTGCTCATTAACATCGTACGAGCCGTAAGATCTTTGTCAGAAGCTAAAGAGATTATCAGAAGCTACGCAAGTCGGAACGTTTTCCAAAATGGAATAACTTTTGTAATATCGGGACAAACAACTTTTCTATGGGGGGCAAGAGAATCTTGTTTATCTCCTCGATTTAATTAATTAATTTAACAGCCGGTATAGGAAAAGTAAAAAATTTAATCAAATGTCAGAAGGTGTCTCTTGACATCTGCGACGATACCTATTCACCGCTGAACCACCGCGACCGAAATCGAGGGAAATAAATCGCGAACGTGTGACTAAAATTTTCTGCAAGGATAGCAAATCGTTTTAATTAAATCGGAGGCGAATTAAAGTGGTGGTCGACGCGATTATTGCAGGGACGTCGTTCCACGCTTTCATCCCACGCGTGTGGCAAAATTGTCGAGGGAAAATGTGGGAAGAAACGGCGGATGGGAAACGCGGAACGGATCGGCGGAGCGTGTCGTCAATCGATTCATCATGATTCTTATTGCAGATGGAGGGGCTGGTGCGGGAGATGCAAGACCCTGAGAACGGGGTACCCGTGCGCAGCCAAAAACAGTTTCTCACCTCAATCCCCTCAGCGTTCATGGGTGAGTGCCATCGGTACCTGCGTTGTGGAGTAAACGTTAGCGGCCATCACGGCCAGGACACTACAGTAGGCTGCCTGCGTGTTGCAGGTTACGACCTCATCGAGTGGCTGATGGAGCGGCTTTCCATCGAGGAATCAGGTACGAAAATCGTACGCCCGCTGCCACGCGATTAACTAATTAGTCTTAACGCCGACTGTCCCCCGCGTGGCCCTAACGATGCGCTAAACTTTGGCTGAGAGACTCACGACACGCTCACCCTGTTGCATCTTATACCCCTTTGACGTAGCTACTACCACCCCTCGCCGGGCTGTTTCCAGCCGGTTCCAAACGCAGTTATACAAAAGTCCCCGTGCACGTGACACGTTCCTCCCTTTTTTATTACAATGAAATTGTCAATCGTTTGAATTGTTCGACTCCGCAACGAACTGTGTCTTGTTTATTCTTTCTACCCCCTCGATTCACCCCGTTCTCCTTCCGACACGAATTTAATCGAAAGATTCAGCTTTTAATGTACGCTGGTGCGGATGCATCGTGTGATTAAGTTAACGCTTGTAAGTAATTACTTCCGTTCCTCTCTCACGTCGTACTATTTAAAGTTGACGGTAACAGTAATTAACAAATGATTGTATATCGTTAAACAGTAGTTAGAATATTGTAACGATTGTCACGTGTTATGACAAGGTAAGATCATAAGTAGTGTTTGTCGAGATTGATTTTTGCATCCTCCAAATACGTAGATCGACATACGACGAGCCGAGATCTTCGACGCTCGACTCGTCTTCGCTGCGCTTGAATGCTTCCGTATTTTATGATTATTTCCTGTAAATGTTCACGTAATATACACGACAAAGAGACACGACAAATCTCGCTTAAGCTCACATCTCCCTTCGAAATCTTCGAATCGACAAGTATGATTTTTATCATCGATTCGACAATTCTCTGAATAGAGACGGCATGCGTAAAATTGTATAGACCGAACGCGTCGCATAGCTGAAATTAGTTAAGCTGCACATGATTACTAAAATGCCTATTGCGAGACACGACGATTGCACCAGGTATGACAGTGAATTGTTATGTTGACAGTAGAGGCGGTCCACATTGCCAATCAGCTCTGCCAATACGGCTACTTCTTCCCGGTGAATGACTCCAAGACACTCACCGTAAGGGATGATAGTTCTCTGTATAGATTTCAGGTACCGTACCTGCCTCACTATGCTTCAAACTCGAGTAGCTCGTTAAAACAAATCAAATTACTTCTAACGCGAACAGAGACAGAAATAGAAATCTGGCGTGTTCAATCCTCGTCCACGTTTCATCGGGCAGAGATCTCTTTAAACGTATGATTATTGAAAATCTTTTGGAAACTCCTCTGAGTGGATGAGGATTGAAGTAATTAAATGTATTATAAAAAGGCTCGTTGTTCAATTGTAAATATATAAAGCACGATATTAATTGATACGAAATAAAATCGGAATAAAAAAATATTTGCACGTTTCGTTTCTTAGTCATTAACCAATTTCTTTTCGATTCGATGAACAGACACCATGTTATTGGCCATGGCAACATAGAACCCCTGATAACGTGGAATACGCTATTTATCTGGCTAAGAGAACACTGAGAAACAAGCAACGCCATGCGCTCGAAGATTACGAGACTGTATGTAAATTTTCCATACCCGTTTCCATTGAAAGGATAATCGAGGCGCGTTTCGTCCGCCGCATAATAAACGATTCTATCCCCTTAGGAAGCTTTAAACAGCCTACGTAGGAACTTGCAGAACAAATGGGATTTTATACAACTCCAAGCCGAAGAACAGGTGAATAATTAATCATTGTCACGGCTCACTCTCGCGGAGCCCGTTTGCTTTGAAACTTTCCCTGGTGAAACTTCCTCATAATTGAATTACCCGTTTTTACGAACTTATCATTCTCATCGAGTTTCCTTTTTAATTCTCTCGGCAATTTTTATGCGGTAACGATAACGAAGGCAAAGTTTTCTTTTGCGTTTCGTAGAAATTCTTCCTGTTCGATCCTCTTTGTTTGAAGTCTCGCAAATACGAGCACACGCGACTCCTTGAAATGTCGTGAGATTTTGTCGATTCAGGTGCGCTTAGCAAAGGAGCGGAAGAAAGGGGATAAGATAGTGAGCGATTCGCAGGAGCGGGCTTTCTGGAGGGTGTACCGGCCGCCACCCGGTTGCTCGAGCAGCCTCGAAATAGCACCCGTACCGACACGCTTTCGCCCTGGACTGTCGCGTCCTCCGTCGCGTAAGCGAACTCTGACTGATCTGCAACGGGAGGTAAATTGTTTCCTCCTTGGACGTTTGCAAAATTCGTTCAGCGTCAGAAACGATACGATCGAACCGATAGATTCTATTATACTTTTTACCATTGTCTTTTTTTTTTTCATTGAACATCAGGTGGCCATATTAAAGAACAGTTTGACCCGGACGAGGATAAAGGTTTCTGCCGCGATCGAAAATTTGAAATCATACTTCGAAACATACGTGGAATACGACCCGATGTTTGTACAGCCACAACCTTCGAATCCATGGATCACCGACGATCAAACATTTTGGCAGCTGAACAGCCCTCTGTTAGTATACCGCGAGCGTAATTAACTTCTCCTGACAAATATACACGCATATCTTCTGTATCCATTGGTGAACTATGCGAGCACCGCGGCGTACGCGCGGCTCGAGTCGATTTAAATTCCTTTAACGTGTTCCATTCGTTCTGCGCAGGGTGGAAGTTCCTACGGAAAAACGCGTCAAGCGTTGGGCACTTTCAATGGAAGAGTTAATGTCTGATCCTACAGGTAATCGATTTTCTTCTAAATTAAGAACGTACGATTCGTCTCGTTTTCTACCGTCTTGTTACGAATCACAGATTTATTTTTATTTTCAATTATTAATAATAGATACGACAGATTTGTATCTGCGATTTCATTGTCCCAGGTTTGCAAGAGTTCACTAATTATTTGAGGAAAGAGTACAGTCACGAAAATATAAGGTTCTGGTTAGCGGTGAAGGATCTGAGGCACAGTTATCAAGCACAGATACCCGACAAAGTCAACGAGATCTTCAAGTACGTAATGAAATTTGCGAACTCACACGATCGTTTATATACAGGGTGTCTTACCCGATTTTTAGATCTCGATTTTCTCTATTGATCGTTTCGACTAATTGTGCGATGTTTATTTCAGAGAATTCCTGGCGCCTGGAGCTCCTTGCGAAATAAACATAGACGGAAAGACGATGGAGAAGGTTCACCAAGAGATGAAAAGTCCAAGCCGATTCACGTTCGATTCCGCTGCTGAACATGTATATACATTGCTCCTGAAGAAGGACTGTTATCCTAGATTTATTCGTTCCGATCAATATCGAAATCTTTTAGCTGCCGGCGTGCAACCTCTGCAGAAACGATGGTACGTTCCTCTTCAACGATGTGTAAATTATTTAAACCCTGATTTACACGTAAAGATTTGTACTGTGAGTGTACGAACGAAATTCGCTGGTAGGTTTTTTAGCTTCGGCGTTCAAGCGAAGAAGAAAATTTCATCGACCTCGGCTCCGACGACTAGCAGTTTGCAACAGCACGCTGTGAGCAGCGGAGGAAGCAGTAGCAAACGGAGAGGAAGCGATCGAAGCCTTTCCGGATCCGCGCACGAGTTAGCCCTTTGCGGCGTTCGAGACACGACTTCGATGCCCAGAGTGCCGCATTCCCACAGCCAGTCGAACCTCGCCGACATCCCTTACAGGTAAACGGTCGACTCTACGTTCGTAACAAACTTGACACTCACTGAGATTCGACGAGTTAAGCTGATTCATGAAACGTCTCTTCACTTAAAAAAATCTCGACGAACGTCGTTCGTATTTCAGAACTAAACTTATCGAGTCTCTATCTGTGTTTCACGAACGAGAGTCAGCTATCGGACGATCGAACGTTTAGGCAAATATTTGATTTGACGAGCCTTCGGTGTCGGAATCGGTACATCTTGTTCCAAATTAATTGCATGCTGTGTTATACTCCGTGCATATTTGACGAGCGAACCGTCGATAGAACCCTAACGGAATCACCGGGATTAGATTTGATCCGGTGCGGTATTTTCAGGGGAGATCTGGCCCGACTTGTAAAGATTTCTACAAGGCCTATTCCGCATAGTGTTCAGTAAGTCCTCGAAGCAGTTCCATAGTTTCCTTGCATCGGTATGCTGCATACGTGTACGAGACGTTCCGCGATACATCGTCTCTGCGACGAAGTCAGGAGATGATAGAAAAATCGTTGTTTCCCGAGTTCACAATTGAAATTCGATGTATCACGAAACGAATCGTGTACCAGTCTCTTGACTTGTCTCTTGTGTCTCTTCTTACTACAATTTTTGAACAAATCCTTAAATCTTACTCGGTGTGTTTTTTCCAAAGTGTCGTTCAGCACTCTCTGACAACAACCGTGTTTACGTGTATGCAAAATTTATTTAGACACATAAATGTACTCTGACATACTCTCCAATCTTATTCTCGGTGTGTGACGAGTCACGTATTTTGGCTAACGTTGTTTAAAAAACCTATCTACCAGTTTTTGCATTTGAACTCTCGGTATTGTGTCTTTTGTACATACATACATACATATAAATATATATGTATATATATATCGTTTGATCAACCTTTTCCTAGTTTTATGCTTTATCGTTCGCCATTTCATTATTAGTATATACATCCGCCCCTTGCCATTTAATTGTTGTCGTCATACGGAATACGTTCTGTCAGCACTGTTTGATTCTTGTTCACGTGTCTAAGCAGCTGGTGCAACCGTTATACAAGATACTTGGCATAATCCACTGTCCACGATTAATAATCGGTTTTATCTCCGACGATCTGACCGCTCCAACGATTATTATGCAACTATCTTGTATAATCGTTATGCTAATTTATTGTGTGAACGTCACGTAAGACGTCTGTTGAATTTTTTACTTTCTGTGTGGATACACTCGAACGCTATCCGATTTTCATGGTGTATAGGAATTCGACCTTCCGTTCCAAAGTAATTCAATTCTTACCCCCTTCACGTTGTTGGTACCAAGTTCTCTTCGAGCTCCCAGACATGATCTTCGTACGAAAAATTAGATAAATTGTAATTGTTCCATTGAGAAATCGAGTGATCTCGTGGAGGTATCAAATATTCCGAAACACTGTTTCTTTATCTTTTTATTCTTTAAATTTACTACGAGTACAAAGTATCTCGAGTGTTTCTAAACGTTCACGAAAGAGCAGCTCCGAGGAATATTCGATGCCTGCAAACGATAGAAGGAGCCCCGTATGAGTTGCATGACCCATCGACGTTGAAACGAAGAGGACAAAGAAGTGTGGCGATTCGGCTAGAGGGAAACGTACAAAGTAAATCATATAATGAAGTTCGTGTTGTCAGGGATGCTGGCGGGTCGGAAACGGCGGCACGGCCGGTGGACGACGTTTGCCCGTGGGACGCGGTGCCTGGCCCGAGTACAGAGCACGGCACGAATACCGCGTCGCTGCATCATCAGCCAATATCGTCCGGAATGATGTCGTCGCTCGAGAGCCAACCGGACGAGGCGTGCGGCGGCTTCATGGGGCAGTCGCAATCCGCCGAGCCGGTACGCGTGTCTCGAAAGAATTCGGCGCAGCTCGATTCGTGTAGTTCCTCGTCCGACGTCAGCTCAGCGGTGGCCGAGGTCTCTGAGCACCTTCGAAAGTCTTGTAGTTTACAGCACAGTAGTAGTACAGGTAATCATTAGTTGTTCACATAGAACGAAGCGCGTCTTCCCTCGACTATACATACACGTCTACACGTATCCGATTTGAACCGTAGCCGGCGTACCGTCGACCACCGAGAGGGTCGGCCTACCACCACGGATCTATTCGATCGGGTCGACCAGCGGAAGGGTGAAGCTCGGAGAGATCGGTCGGCCGTCCGCTTCCTGCAACTATCCCGTGTCGCCGCAGCATTCGTTCGAGTATTCTCACGGGACGTTCGACAAACCGGAAACCCCGAGCACGGCCACGGGGAGAGCGACCGTGGAGGTAGCCACCGGCGCATCGAAGGTCGCGTCGTACGTTTCCCCCTCGTACGACGTGGCCTTCGCTGCGCCGGTGGGCAAGACGGTGCCCAAGGCTCCTTTGATAAGCATAAGCGCGATCGTGGGCGATCTGCCGAGCGACGGCTCGGCGATCGAGGCCGAGGAGAAGACGGACGACGATGAGACGGGGACGACGAGGGACGAGGGGTCGGAGGTCGATAAGGGGAAGCGAGACGCGGAGCCTGATAAGGGTGAGACGCTGGAAGAGGCGCAGGTTGTTCCTGTCTGGGAGCCGGAAACCCGGCAGGGCGACCAGGTAGCACCCGTCACTCCGCCAGCCTCCCAGCAAAAGCGTGACAATAACGTTAACGAAGTGTGCCCATGGGAGGATGAGTAAGTACAAATTTGTCTAACGCTCGGACCGCGGATGTTTATGCATCTTGAACGATTCAAAGTAACGAGACTCTCGAAACAGAACAGAGAATTTGTAACGTTAAGAGGATTTCGTCGAAATGTTCGTATGCATTTCGTTCCTTCACTGTTGCCTCTAACGAACATGTGCATAAACATGCTGCAGTCTGCTAACGACACTCGCGTACACGCAACATCCACACATTCATATTCTGCGATTAGACCAGAGTAGACGATAGACTTTTATGTTCGTCACAATTATTAGATTATATGTTTTGTTACTGTGCGATTATGGTGCCGAGTTTATATATGATCGAGACCGTACGTATATATTTTATTACTTCGTTAAGAAGCAGTTTGTAATTACGGAAGGGAACGGATGTCAACGAAAACGAGTCGAAGATGTTTTCAGTTCTCGTTTATATTTTATTTTACGAGACGTGCGATTTTATTCGATTGCGTTACGACGTGTCACGACACACTCGTTAACGCTGCGGTCTCTTTATAAGAGTGCAAAATTTCGTGAAACGTCTTTTGTAGATATACCTATATACTTTGAAATAAACACATCGTTTACTTTCATCACTATTCATTTGCACATTCTTTAGTTCTCATAACGATCCTGTGTCCCTTTAAAGTATATCCTAAAAGTCTTATCTATCGTAGTCATCCCGAATGACTAGACTGTGGATTTGATGGATTTAGAAGAGGCGTATAAAATTGTTCAGAGCATGAAAAATCGAATGAAACGTTTGCTGCCAAGCAGATACTTTAAACCGATACCGAAAACGTAAAATCCGCAGTCTACTAACAGCGATGAGACCTGAACATGCGGTTGCATGAACGTTCACGATTCTGTTTCAGGGAAAACTGTAGAGTGGACGCCCCATACGTGAAAACCTACGCGACTTTGGGTTACTTATAACTTGGCATTGGTACTAAAATAAAAGGGAATACATTTTACACGTAAACATTCGAAATTTCCATTTTACTTCACTTTAACGAGCCCTCGAGTGCCCGAACCACGCGTATAACACAGTGCGAATTCGTGTTTGCGATCGCGAAGGCGGATCCCGAGGCGTGAATCGAGATCAGTAGAAGCAATCACGCTGAAACGAAAGGGAACGATATTTGCTCGCACGAGAGTTAATTTCTTGGTGTAATCGATGTCCATTTAGAAGATATTCCAATATCGCCTCAGCCCGAACACGTTCTCCGCGTGTCAATTCATTTACCGCCCCCCACACGTCCCTGCACTCGCGTAAGTTTCATTTCGGTAGTAATTAAAACGATGTCCTGCTAACAAGCTGATCTACAGTAGAACGCGGTACAATTAAAGAAACCGCGAGTATAACGACGACGCGTCAGTCTGCCGATCTCCCTTAGGATAGAGCGTAGTCCTATTTAATAAGACAAAGTTCAATTCTGCAAATTGAAAGACAATTATTACGATTCTAATTGGTTCAAGTATTAAACGCAAAGAACCGCCCTGCGATCGCCAGTCATCACCTGCCGAATGACCGCGTTCACAGGTCGCGCATTTCTTTAATACTGTTTTACTATTTTAACAAAAAGTCGATTGGAAGATTTTACGATCTTACTTTATTACAAAATTTTCGTCGGAGTTATTCGTTTCTCGAATTGTTGTCGAATTTTATCGATGATTTGATCGTCGTTCAATCTAAGTGTTAGTCGTATCCATCTAACGTCTAGTGTCTAATGACAGGTGTTTAGCGTAACATTACCCCGCTTGGCCCGATTTGATCGTACGCGTTGGTAGCACCCGACCTCGAGCCGGCTAATGTTACTCTACTGTTCGTAATTAGAGATAAAATTAATAATTATACAAGAGAAGATAAACGCAAGGCAACCGTGTGATAATAACGATTCATTTGTTTTTTAAACGTAAGACGTGTCGAATCTTGTTCTCTAACGATACCTACTCGTACGGTGTAATAGGATTTAATAGAGGGTACTGTATCCCGATGTCCCTCAACGATAAATAAATTATAACGACTTCTCCCTCCTTTAGGAACATTTATTTAAATGTCTATAACGTGTATAGTAAGATTTAGAGACGAGTTTACCTGACTACGTTTAAACGTTTAATGTTATATCCAAAAAGCACGATGCACGAGACAGTAAAGCGTGTTTACTCGGTGAAGCCCCTCCGAAGAGGGTAAACGATTGCGTGGATCACGCGGCGGAGATTAGGGATGAAATCGACGTGAACACGAATGTCAGTGAAATGAAACGATTACGCGGGCCAAGAAACTTCTTCGACGAATTTTCCTTATTCTCGTGGCTTTTAATCCGCTGAATTCGAATATGACGATAAGAGAGTCGTATCGGTTATCGGTCATTTATAAAGAGACGCTAAACGTAAAGGCCAGTCACGAAGACTACGTAACGAAGTTGAACAAAAATTTCGTTCGTAATCGATTTTTAATTCCCAATGTGTGACGAAACTGTGAATAATGACATGAGATCAGACGCGGATTCGGCACCGAAACGAATCGTAAGAATCAGCTGTTAACGTTGAAGAAGTCGGTTGACCCGCGTCACTTTTTGTATTTCCATTGGTCGACGCGTACCCCGTGACGAAATTCGGTTCGGACACTCGAGGCTATTCTTAAGAGTTCTAACGTATCCATACATTAAAATCGTAATGTTACATATAATTAAAAAGCTCAATTTAACTATTGTAAATCCTTATGAGACGACAAAAGAAAAATACTAAAGAGAACTAGATAGTCGACGTGGATGAAGTGCGGCGTGGATATCGAGATTAAAAGTTCCGTTGAATCAGCGAGATGGGTTGATGCAAACGTACGCATCGACGGTACGACTGAGTCTTATTTAACGAGGCGTAATGCGTGTTAAATTAATTACTATAAGCTTGAAAGAAAACGAATCAAAACAAAACTATTTTCGTTCCTCGTTTCGCGGAGATATTTTGTATAACGTCACTCGTAGAAAATGCTACCCGCCGTTCTGTCGTTACGATTACTCCGAGTCGCGGTAATTTAAAGGATCTTGCATTGTCGTTGTATTGTACAAAGGGCAATCGAAAGGATCGTTGTGCGTCCTGAATCTCCGAGCACCACTCGTGTGTATTCACGGTTTCTTCGTTACGAGTCTGAACGAATCGAAGTAGCGACGAGATCGTAACACGTAATTAATTATTTCGATCGACGACTACGCGTGCGAACGGTCATCAGTATTATCCGAAGAGAAACAATGCAGTGTTCAACGAACAGACGAGAACAAAGTACAATTTACGATCGATATTATTTTAATATTGCTTCGAAGAGAGAGAGAGATTGAACGGGAGCGTAGCCGGCAATTCCTTTCTACAAGATATTTTTTTACGGTCGTCTATTATTTTCTAATGGCTCTAATCGTATTAACGAAACGTGGATATTTTAAATACGTAACTTTTATAGCATCCGTAGCTTGGTTACATTTTACCGTGTATAAGCTAAGCGATATATTATTTATTACGATACGAAACGTCTCGTGAGGCGTCGACTATTAATTATTAATACGTCACTGTTAACGATTTATCAAATTATTATGGAATAAGGCAGGCACAGAATTATAGTGGAGACGATACTGTTTTCTCTGGCGTCTCGTTTGGTTGAAAGGATCGGATGGTTCGGGTCGATTTCAATTCTATTAAGCTAATTACTTTCAATCATGTGCAACGTGAAACAATCAGAGTGTACCTCTTGGTTCTTCTCCATCCCTAGATTCGCCAATAGTACAAATGTAACTTAAAGTATAGCGTAATTTACGGGTAAGCCTGGCTCAATTTTTCGTCTAAATCCCGGCCTCGTGTTTCGTTCACAGAGGAATTCAATATGAGATCGAACGTGCAACAAGCAAATTTACAATCTACGATCGAAGTCTCGTGTAGTACTGTCATTTTTACTGTTCAGTTTCTTTTCGGTGTTTTTTCCAGAGAAAATTCATTATTAAATTTCGACCAGATGAGAATGAGCCATGTTTACCAGCAAAAGACTGAAAACGTACCTGAAATTTGCTCCTCCCTCGTGTGTAAAAAAAAATTCTAAAACTGAACGTTTTGGAATGCGGCGTTGTCTAATTATTTCGGTAAAAATTAAAGAGGAAACAGAAGAGAACGACGAAGATAATTAGTAAGAATGAAAAAGAACTGGGGTGATCGATTCAAGATTTCAGCGATCCTTGACGTGTCCTGAGGTATTTTAATCTATACTTTGTATTAGATCTCAGTCCATCGGATCGTTTAAACGTGTGTGCTAAATGAGAACGTGTTAGTGTCATTGTTAGAGAGAGAGAGAGAGAGAGAGAGAGAGAGAGAGAGAGAGAGAGAACGAAACTAGCGTAGAAGTTCCTTTCCGCACTTACTGCGTCTCGCAATTTCTTTCCACCGGTGAGGGAAGTTCGTTGGAATTAGTTGGAACGCGAGCGTTCTTCTATAGATTTTAACAGCCGTCGAGATGTAAGCTTTAATCGTAAGGGTTCAACTTAAAAGGATGTAGATGATCAGAGGTGCGTGAATTAAAAACGTTTAATTCGACAGGCAGCTACGAGATGAAATTACGTCCTGCGCTTTTGTGTTCTCTTAGTTCCTTCTAAAACAGATATTTAATGAATCGTCTCGTGGTCGATGATGAATTGAACGTTGCGTTTTTCGAGTGTAACGATCGGGGATTCTGTGATGAAAGATTGAACGATGACGCAAGAACGAGGGTAAAACGGTGACAGTCGTCGAACGAATGATGGTCGAAATTTTGTATTATACGAGGATTAACAGTTGAGTTAACGTAATACTCATAAAGATAATGAAAAATCCGATTGAGGATGTATAGGCTATACATATACTTAAACAATGCTGGCATGTTGAATTTGTTATTATAGATTCTTATTACTATTGGAAATCTAAAATTATAT